ACATTTCCTGTTTTTTTTTCTGGGTCATTAAAAGCCTAATGCTGTATTTCTGTTCCGTCCATCGTGTTTCCATATCATTGTCTTATCAGTATCTAAATGTGAAATGCCAAAAATGACCCGTAAATTGCTTTGTTGTTTTCCCTCCGTTCACTTACAGCGATTACACGTCAGACAGACATTTATCGTGACAGAAATGACCACGTCTGAGCGTCCGTCTGCAGACACACGCTCTGGTGCGTCAATGGTCATTTCTCAGGGCGCAAAGTGGGCGTTTAATGGCAGTGATTTGGAAACATCGTAGACCAGAGAGTGAGACGCTCCGTGGTCAAAGAACTCAAAAGTTCAATGAGAAACCGGTGACGTCTGAAACATTGGAAGCACAATAGAGATGTAGCTGATTCAGACGAGAATACAGGGTTCTCAGGGGTCAGTCTGAACCATGTGGGCGGGTCCAAAAGGTCCATGAGCACACGCACTGACATGCTGCTCTTGGTCCAAAAGTGGTTCTTGGTCTAAATCTTCGTTCCAGATGCTGTCGAGGCTGCAGGGAGTATTGTTTGGACCAGTCTCGTTGAGTCGCTATGGAATTTTGAATGCACTCCTTAAATGAATGGGGCTAGTGCAGCTAACACATGCGCAAATGTGTTTTTTCACATTTTCTAGCCCCCGCGGCCATTTTGAAAAAGCCACAGAAGGTAAAAGTGATGTCACATTAGTTTCACCAGTGGAGATAGGCGTCACTACGTCTGATAATATTTACCGCATTTAAACAGAGCCTTTCAGTCCTTGCAGCAACCCTCCTCCTCCCCGTCACGCTTGCGTCAGTGGAACCAGGCGCCACAGTGGGGCAGCTTTAAAGTGCCAAACTGTGGTTGTGTCCTTTGGCAAGACACTTCCCCCACATTAGAATGAGTCTGGTGTGTGTGTGATTGGTTGGTGGTGGTGGGACTGGTTGCCTCGCTTCTGTCAGTGTGCCCCGGGGCAGCTGTGGATACAATAGTAGTTTATCGCCGCTGTGTTTGAAGTGAAGAAATACTGAGGTGTTTTTGAGTATCTGGAAAAGTGCTGTAAAAAACAAATGCATTATAATTATGTATTTGGAGATGTATTTCCTCCTCCAATATGTCTAACAAACTTATGCAATTAAACGTTCAGTGAAGGAGATGAAGATGCTGGTGAGAGACTGTGTGGGCGATATCTGTAGTTGATCTGTATGTTTTCCCGACATTCCCAGGAGCGCGGACACTGGAATCAGGAGGATGAAGTGGCCTCTGACTGAAACGCCTAAAACACACAATCCTTGACACCATCCTCAGCCCGACCCCGGACCCTCATCTCTCTGACACTTATGAAAGCAGAAAAGCAATCACAGATCACAGAACCGGGAACTCAGAACTTGCTCTGCAGCCAATTTATTCATTTGAAATCTCAATAATTATGTAAAAATGTGTTTCAAAGGAGAATACGGTACACACACTTCTGCGTTCAGCTCCACGGCTCTTTATCAAACGTCATGTTCAGACACAAGCCCCGCAGGCAGACTGGTTAGCTACAGCACTTTATATATCTCATTTCAATCTCAAGAAAACAACTTTCGCAGCTGAAGCATGTTTTTTATTAGAATTGTATCTTGGCAATGAGTCTGTCCCGATTCCATACTGTACAGAAACATGGTTAAGGTTTGGTGCTTAGACCCCGGCGGTCATGTTGTGGATTTGATTTAGTTTTGGGCCCTGTCCCAATACCCACACTGCCCCCTTCACTCCTCTACAAAGTGTGCATTTGTTTGAAGTGCACACAAGGGTTTGAGTGGCAGGTTACAGCAAAAAAGGCGGAAATGGACAGTGCAGGTGACGTCATCGACTCGTCAAGAGATGGTAATTTTCAGACCTAAACTTTATAAAAATTAAAGGTCATTTCGTCTGACCCTGTGGAGACTAAATGAGTTGCTCCACACACGATAAAAAAAAAAATATTTGTTATTCGAAATATGAGATAGCTGTATAATTTTAAAGTAGTACTAGAATTTAATATGCTGCTATCCAGAATATATAACTACAATATGTGTTTATAATATTTCAGGTGTTCATTTTGACATGTTCAGATGAATTATGTTAAAAAAACTGCTTTGAAGTGGCACCTTTTCACTTCCGCATAGAAACGCTAGGGGGCGCCAAAATGTCGGCGATGACGTAGGAGAAGGACCTCTCACAGCAGCAGCAGCAGTCTGGGCTGAATCTGTAGGAGGTTTCACTGTCATCTGAACAAGGTATAAACATATTTTCATCCGTTTTGTACATAATAGTGTGCAACTCTTTTAACCTTTTAGCCTTATTTGTGAAATTCAAGCTAATTAGTGTTGGGCAAGTTAGCATGTTTTATGATATCAAGTAGAGTTAGCTAACAAGGCTAATATTCGTTTTTACATTATGTCAGTCTCACGTTGGTTGCCTTAGATTTATTTACCACAATGTACATTGTAATATCCATAAATGCTAACACCTATTAACGGTTTAATTAGCATTTTTATCAATGATTGCATCACATGTAGTCTATGTTTTCAACTTCTGCAGCTTTTTGTTCATAAAAGTAAAATATTTATTTAATTCAAGTTATTTTGATTAGAATTTATGGATATTACAATGTACATTGTGGTAAATACATCTAAAGCAACCAAAGTGAGACTGGCATAATGTAAAAACGAATATTAGCCTTGTTAGCATGTTTTATGATATCAAGTAGAGTTAGCTAACTTGCCCAACACTAGTTTGCTTGAATCTCACAAATAAGGCTAAAATGTTAAAAGACTTGCACACTATTATGTACAAAACTGATGAAAATATGTTTATACCTTGTTCAGATGACAGTGAAACCTCCTACAGATTCAGCCCAGACTGCTGCTGCTGCTGTGAGAGGTCCTTCTCCTACGTCATCGCCGCCATTTTGGCTCCCCCTAGCGTTTGTGAAAAGGTCCGACTTCAAAGCTGTTTTTTTAACATAATTCATCTGAACATATCAAAATGAACACCCGAAATATTATAAACACATATTGTAGTTATATATTCTGGATAGCAGCATATTAAATTCTAGTACTACTTTAAGTTAAATGTGGGTAACTAACTGTTATCTGGTCAGTTTGTATACAGTACATCCTAAGATTAGTGTAAAGTTTAAATTGAATGTTATATGAATGTTTGCATTAAAAGATTGTTACCATAGAATGTTCGTAATTCTTCAACAGACGTTTATGCTTCTTTCCAAGTAACATAGAAAAACATATCTACACACACACAGCATGTATATTTCAAAACATACACTTAAATGCATTTTCCCAACGTTTTGGTGTGTACCGCAAAGAATTATGGGCAATATCCTTCGCCAGTGTCTGCTTAGATGCAGGCTACGGCGAAGTGTGGATCAGGGGCGCAAAGGGGGCGGGGCCAAAGACCTCCCTGGAGAATTGGGACAGTACCCTACGCACTCGCACCCATCATCGGGAACGTGCAAATGAGGGGCGCCAGGTTGGAAGTGCGAGTGTTGGGGCAGGGACTTGTGATAGTTGTTTTACTTTGACGTCCTGTTCCCCCGTGTCTGCCCTGCCCTCATGTGTCTCACCTGTGACAGGGGCAAAGCTGAGTGCGGTCGGACAGTTGGATCCACGCTTTAGCTTCATTAGACTTTTTCACCATTTGTCCAGTGTTGCTTGAATCTAAAGACACTGAACTCATGTTAGAAGGTTTCTACAGTAAGATAAAGAGTGAAAAGAAGCTAGTTCTGCTTAATAACCGCGTGTTTCGGAGGTAGACTTCTGCCTCGGTCAGAGAAGATGGGAAGCTAATATCTTTATAAAGTAAATAGTATCTGACTTTCTACAAAGAAAAAACACTTTAATAGTTCTGGGGTGGGTTTGACATCCTGCCATAGACTGGGGGTGGACAGTTGGTAGAGCGTTGGTGTTGTGTCCTTGGGCAAGACACTTCCCCCACATTAGAATGAGTCTGGTGTGTGGGTGAATGGTTGGTGGAGGTTGGAGGGGCCGATGGCACAGACTGGTTGCCTCGCTTCTGTCAGTGTGCCCCAGGGCAGCCGTGGCTACTGTAGTCGTTTATCAGCACAGGGTATGGAAAGAATTATGAGCTGTGAAAAGACTTTGAGTGTATAAAAAGGGCGATATAAAACCGATGCATTATTTTGCTCCTTTCTACAGCAGAATATCAGATCGAAGACCCTGCAGGCGCCGCTCAGACCGCAGAGGAAGTTAAACAACAAGACCAAAACACAGCGCTGCCGCATCATCCACACATCACAAACTCAAACATTTTGACTTTGACTCTGGTCCAAACGCTCCGACATCATCCTCATTGCAATTCTGCTTGTGTTGCTCACTTTTTATTATTGCACTAAATTCCGGTTTTAGCCTCGTAGCCGCTAATAAATGGCCATTAGCCGTATGCAGACACATTTAAGGCTTTAAGTGGCTGCTTCTGGAGTCCACTTAGCATGCACTATTGGTATCATAAATAACCATTTATGTAAGAAGCCTACAGGACTAATATGACCCTGATTAACTATGACTGACTTCCAACGCTGTGCGATTAACTTGGATTTTGTTTAGTAATAGCTTGACATGCTTTAGTATAATTCATTGCTGGCTCAGTCTTGGGAATACACCACAAAAACCTTCACTTTCAGCCTCGCCAAAAGCAATTCCTTTCTGTCTTCACCCGGGTTAATAGTATCCAGACACCGCAGACATTAAATTAATTAAAAACACCAAAACAAGAGTGGCCGCATAACAGAGATGGATGGGGCAGCGGCCGGGATATTTACAGGTAACTTAATTACTTTAACCAAATAAAACACATTCGGGTCACGGAGAGGAGAATTCTAAATAGGCAATTAAGCCAGTGGTAAGAGCGGTAATACTGCGAGGCAAAGTACATAAAAAGCAGGGAAGTGGAGGGTGTCAGTGCAAACGACTTTGGCTAACGCGATCCATCATGGGACTAAGTGGTAAGATGGTGTCGCGGCTCCAAACCCTAACAGCATTAATCCTAGATAGCGGAGCTCATAGCAGCCAGCGGCAATCATGGCAACAATAACTCATCCATCTGGAAGCCGTCCAAGGCCCCACTGCTTAATTATGCTCCCCTCATGAATATGCCCAGCGCTTTTTAAAAGAGGGGAAAGAGATGACGGCGAGGAACAAAGGGAGAGAAGTTCACAAGAAAGAGCTGTTTGAACATTGAGTTTGTGTGTGTAAATGAAGCTATTAGAAAGGGTACACACGCAGAGGGGGAGTGCTACATGGGTATTGTGGAGGAACATGACAGGTAAATGGAGCCGTGAGATGGAGGTTTGAGAGATGTTGGATCTTGTGTCGGGACTTTTGCTTTCGCTGCAGTTTCTCATGAGATTGACTCAGAGATCTAGTTTAAAGCTGCCCGAGTATAAAGAAGAATATGGGTCTGTTTCTCTCCGTCCATTCCATGTATTATTGTGTATCTGTAGCCTTAAATCACAGCAGTAGTCGTTTTTACAGCAGGACTTTACAAAGTGGTGGATTCTCCGCTCAAACTGGATTTTTGTTATGCTTATTTAACCTTTATTTAAAATCCCCCAGGGATTAAAATCCTCTTTTTCAAGGGAATCGTGGCCAAGAGGCAGATAAGTTACACATAAACACAACAGCCAGATAAAATAACATTAAAACGACACGTACAGACTACACACATCAAGTAAAACGTCTTAAAAGCTTTACGTTTTAATTTAAAAGCATTCAAGGATAAAAACTTGGTCCTGTCTCGCTGAAACATGTTCCAAGCAGAAGGAGCTGAATGAACTTTTTCCCAACTCTATGCCACTAAATAGCAAACACTTAGAAGCCATTGGTCCATAGGGAGCGGGATGTGGATTACACTCTACACTAGACCTGCTGCTGGGACTAACTCTATACATTTGAGTGCATATTTTGCATTCCCTTTTCTTTTCTTTTTTTGTGTGGACCAAATTGATATTGAGTCTGAAATATAGAACAATATTCCCAGGCCTGAGACAAAGAGAGACGCAGGAAGGTTGTGTGGTTCTATGAGCTTTTATTGGCAGAAGGTTTGAGCAAGATCTGTCAGGTCCAAAGCAGCTCCTGCAGAAGTCTGGATTACGGCAGATTACAAGTCTGGACCCATGAGTCTGATCCATGAGTCTGGACCCATGAGTCTGATCCATGAGTCTGGACCCATGAGTCTGATCCAAGAGTCTGATCCAGGAGTCCTGCAAAAGTCTGATTATCACAGAGAAGGATGGCACTTATAAAGACCTTGAACACAGACTTTGGAAGCTTGACTTGGTAAAATGAACACACGGCATCAATGTAAAAAGCCAAGTAGACATAGGTCCAATGTGCACAACATCGTAACAATCCTAAACCACCTTTTACATTGCCCGTTAAAAACTAGTTCTACTACAGTTATCTGGACAGACCCACACAACAAACAAGGTATTCATTTATAGTTACAGTGGTGTGGAATAGACTGTGATTGAAGGAGGGCAGAACAGTGCTGCTTTACATCGTTCTCCCCCAGTCACTACTGCCTCACTGCTCCTATGAAGTGAGCTTTATTGAAAGATAAACGCACCTCCAACACACATACAGAATAGCCCTAAAAGTAAAACATTAGCCTCTTGTTGGACAACGTCTTGCAACATAGTTCACAAAAGACCCCAATGTGGACAATGTGGATAATTATTAGCTTGGTTTCAACACCTCACTCCACATTCCAATGTCGGTCAACTCAAAAGTTGTCTAAACTGAATATATTCACATTCATTTTAATGATAACCCAACGACAATATAACTATCACCCGTCTTCGTCCATATGTATCCTCCACCGTCGCTGAAACCCTGATCCACGCTTTCATAACTTCCAGACTCGGCTTCTGCGACAGTCTTTTATACGGCCTTCCTTCATCTGATCTCCAAAAACTGTCCAATACTCTGCCGCCCGCCTCATCACTCAGGCCCGCTCCAGAGAACACATCACCCCTGTCCTTCATAGACTCCACTGCCTCCCCATCAAACAGCGCATCCATTTCAAAGTCCTCCTCATCACCTCCAAGGCCCTCCATGACCTCCTCCAGACCTCACTGAACTTCTACAGCCCTACAGTCCCTACCGCCGACTCCGATCTGCAGACTCTCCTCACTCCCACCGTCAAATCCAAGCACCGAACCTTGGGGGACCGAGCTTTCGCCATCTCTGCTCACTCTCTGGAACTCTCTCCGCCCTCACCTCTGGAACTCTCTCCCCCCTCACCTCTGGAACTCTCTCCCCCCTCACCTCTGGAACTCTCTCCCCCCTCACCTCTGGAACTCTCTCCACCCTCACCCCTGGAACTCTCTCCGCCCTCACCTCTGGAACTCTCTCCCCCCTCACCTCTGGAACTCTCTCCACCCTCACCTCTGGAACTCTCTCCCCCCTCACCTCTGGAACTCTCTCCACCCTCACCTCTGGAACTCTCTCCCCCCTCACCTCTGGAACTCTCTCCCCCTCACCTCTGGAACTCTCTCCCCCCTCACCTCTGGAACTCTCTCCCCCCTCACCTCTGAAACTCTCTCCCCCCCTCACCTCTGGAACTCTCTCCCCCCTCACCTCTGGAACTCTCTCCGCCCTCACCTCTGGAACTCTCTCCCCCCTCACCTCTGGAACTCTCTCCGCCCTCATCTCTGGAACTCTCTCCCTCCTCACCTCTGAAACTCTCTCCCCCTCACCTCTGGAACTCTCTCCACCCTCACCTCTGGAACTCTCTCCACTCTCAACTCTGGAACTCTCTCCACCCTCACCTCTGGAACTCTCTCCCCCTCACCTCTGGAACTCTCTCCACCCTCACCTCTGGAACTCTCTCCACCCTCACCTCTGGAACTCTCTCCTCCCTCACCTCTGGAACTCTCTCCCCCCCTCACCTCTGGAACTCTCTCCCCCCTCACCTCTGGAACTCTCTCCGCCCTCACCTCTGGAACTCTCTCCCCCCTCACCTCTGGAACTCTCTCCACCCTCACCTCACCTCTGGAACTCTCTCCACCCTCACCTCTGGAACTCTCTCCCCCCTCACCTCTGGAACTCTCTCCACCCCTCACCTCTGGAACTCTCTCCACCCTCACCTCTGGAACTCTCTCCCCCTCACCTCTGGAACTCTCTCCTCCCTCACTTTTGGAACTCTCTCCCCTCCTCACCTCTGAAACTCTCTCCCCCTCACCTCTGGAACTCCCACCCCCTCACCTCTGGAACTCTCTCCACCCTCATCTCTGGAATTCTCTCCTCCCTCACCTCTGGAACTCTCCCCCCCCCTCACCTCTGGAACTCTCTCCGCCCTCACCTCTGGAACTCTCTCCCCCCTCACCTCTGGAACTCTCTCCACCCTCATCTCTGGAATTCTCTCCCCCCTCACCTCTGGAACTCTCTCCCCCCTCACCTCTGGAACTCTCTCCACCCTCACCTCTGGAACTCTCTCCACCCTCACCTCTGGAACTCTCTCCCCCCTCACCTCTGGAACTCTCTCCCCCCTCACCTCTGGAACTCTCTCCACCCTCACCTCTGAAACTCTCTCCCCCTCACCTCTGGAACTCTGGAACTCTCTCCCCCCTCACCTCTGGAACTCTCTCCACCCTCACCTCAGAAACTCGGACTCACTGTGTCTCTGGCCTTTCATGGCTGTGCGATGGGGAGCCCATCGCACAGCCATGAATCTGTCTAAAGAGTTTCTTTAGACAGATTCATTCAAGGCCAGAGACACAGTCCAACAGACAGAAGAAAGTAGGAGGAGAGGGGTGTCCTTACCGTATGTGGCGGGAGTTTCAGAGAAATTACAAAGAATCTTTAGGCAACACAAAATCCCTGTGTATTTCAAACCTTTCAACACGTTAAGACAGAAATGAGTGCATCCTAAAGACAAAACACCCAGACACAAACAGAGCAATGTGGTGTATTCCATTAAATGTAGTGAAGAGGAGTGCACTGACCACTATATTGGAGAAACCAAACAAACTCTACAGAAACGACTTTACCAACATTGTAGAGAAAACTCTAGTGGGCCACAGTCGGCTGTTCATCTCCACCTCAAGGCCTCCAACCACACGGTGGATGACACAGAGGTTAAAATTCTGGCTCGGGAGAAGAATTGGTTTGAGAGAGAGGTGAAAGAAGCCATTTTTGTGAGGAAACAAAAACCTTCTCTTAACAGAGGAGGAGGGTTAAGATTTGTTTTGCCTCGCATCTATGACGACATCCTAAAAACAACGCCCTAACTTGGGACAAGGTCAGTGACATGCTAATGAGTTAGGAGGGGTGAGACCTGCACTCCACTTGAGCATCCCAGCAGACAATAGGTCTGTGACATGCTAAGGAGTTAGGGTCGTTAGCCTCAGCAGGGTCGTTAGACCTGCTCCCTTCTACATCAGACCTTAGATTGTTTATGAGTATCAGGATTAGGGTGTGGCTAACCACACCCATAGGTTATAAATCTCCAACGCGCGGTCCGAGAATTCATTCCCTGAAGAAGTCCGCTAGGTTGAGGACGAAACGTCGGGAAAACTTGCTAAGAAGTACAGATGATGGGTGAGAAACCTTCCTTTTCTTTGACTAATCCCTGTACGACTGAGAGCTTACACAAACATATAAGTATTTTTGCTGTGTTTTTCACCTTCCTGAGGGATTGCAGATGGAAACTAGTCAGTATGAAGCTAATACTGGCTTTTTTTTTTACAGAAATAGGCCTGGGTTCAAATCCCGGTCGGAACAGCGCCTTTCTGAGTGGAGTTTGCATGTTCTCACTGTGTCCGCGTAGGTTTCCTCCGGGTGCTCCGGTTTCCCCTACCACTAAAAACATGCACAATAGGTCTGAATGTAAATGAGAGAGTGAATGGATGGTGTTGGGTCAGAGGCTTTGATGGACCAGTGTGTTCTGGACTCGCTTCTGTCGTCACCGTGTGTGGAAGGACTGGAACAATATCTGACTCTGAACATTGGAAAGTGCTTTGGGTCTGTACCTTGGGCTGTAAAATGCGCTATATAAATAAACATTACTATAAATATAGGGAATCACATTTGTCTCGCGGGCCTCAGTTCGGACCCGTCACGCTTAAGAGCAGCAGATGTTAACCTGGATTTACTCAAACCAACTCCAAAATCCCTTCCTCCAAAGCGTCACATTTCTTCCCAAAGCCTGAGGGGGAGTTTAGTGCAGCAGCTGGTGGTGGGCTCGACACCCGCTCAGTCACCGCTCCCACCTTCACCTCTGCTCCGCCACAAAACTGGGGATTGTCATTTCTGAAGTGAAAAATCTGGATATTTTCTCCCTGAAAGGATGGTGTGTGGCGTTGTCCTTGCTGTAATTAATGAGCGAGAGACGCAGTTTTCCATTCATATTTTACGGTGAGGTTTTATCGCCAATATCAGGATCATCGTTCCGCCATCTTGGACCCCCCCAGGGCCCGGACGTCTTTCCTTCAACCTTCTTCACCACAATACGACTGTTGGATTAAGCTTCCAAGTGGCTCTCGTTTATGGGAAGATGATGTGGATCGGACGCCATTTCTGGGAATAAGAATGTTACGGAACGACAGCGGCCATTTTGATGCAAAACAGATACAAATGTGTTTTTCTTTGGATAACTTAAGACGTAGAACGAATGAACGATGGAATTTCAATTGTTGGGAAATTAACAAATTCTATAATGTTTAGAAGAAATTATAATCTGTCTTTATGCTGTTACCAATATGTTTTTATTGTGTGTGAGTCATTATTCCTCTCTTTTTGACGGTTCCCGCTGTGAGACTAATACAAGCATTTACTCATTAATTCTCTTTTTTCATCAGAATGCAACAAAATATGACAATAATCCAGAAAATACAACAGTAATAATTCCATGAAAAGAAGAACAGGAGAAGGATGAAGAAAAAAACAATCTTATAAACTCCTCCCCAATTTTTATATAAAGATTATTTACAATTTAGATGTCTAACCGGCACCAAAAATACAAACATATTTATTTAAAACAACCCTTTCAGACAGAAAAGTGAGAAAGAGAGGACGACCTTCACTGAAGCGTCAGATTCTACTAAAGTATTATTTCTGAAATAATAATTCTCGGTCTCTGCAGCTTTAAGACATTTCAAATTCTAGAACACAGCAAAGTAAATGTAGAATTAATAATTTTTCAACTAATATATTTCACAGATTTATCCAAACCCCGTGTATAGAAGATAGGAGAACCTTCATTTGTTCTACAGTGGTTGAAATTTCAGTGTTGCAGTGCACAAACAGGACTCACAAATATACAGTTAGTAGATGCTGCTTAATAAGCTTTAAAAGTATACAGTATATATATCTCGTTATTAAAGGCCCCATATTACGCTTTTTGACTTTTCTCTGGTTTAAACACGATCAAAGCTGTTTGCCCAGAGTCATTTTTCCATTGATTCCGTCAATTTTAAAGCTGCACTAACTGACTTTATTTTCGTATTCATTACTAAAGTGCTATCCATGTCCATGCAGTGCTTTGGGATAAACGTCCTTTTGAAGAAAAAGTAGCGCAGATTTGTGCTGGTGTGACATTATAGTTTAGATCGAGTTTTGATGAAACAAGGAAGAGAATGTGTTTCGGGTCGCAGATTGTGACCAATCACAGCGCACCACTAGCCCCCACTTTCGTGAGAAATCTACAGGTCTGTTAGCACAGACAGCTGAGTTAGCACAACAAGCCAAGGAGCTAACCTGAAGCTTTGTGTCTTCGTCTCCAGTTACTGCTTACACAGCGAGACAGCCATCCAAAAGAAAGTCTCGTTCCTCTGCGCTTCCCGGTTCTATCGTTCTATGGTCACGCCATCCACGTGCAAATCCATGTCCATGTATTATCCATATTGGGAGACGCTAGCTCCGTCAACAACAGTGGGTGTGTGTGGGGGGCGATAGCTTACCTATCCAGGCGTTTCACATGAGCTGACATCACCTCTATGCACAAATAGGCTGTAATTTGACATGTTTTGAATGTTGTACGGTATATCACCCAAATTATTATCACACATGTTTATGGGATGGACTGTGAGAAAGTAAAAAAAGCAAAATATGGCACCTTTATATAAGTTTGTGTAAGCCCTCAGTCGTACAGGGATTAGTCAAAGCAAAGGAAGGTTTCTCACCCATCATCTGTACTTCTTAGCAAGTTTTCCCACTTGCTTGAACTTGCTTGAAAACTTGCTAAGAAGTACAGATGATGGGTGAGAAACCTTCCTTTGCTTTCACCTTTATATATGCAAGAAGGAGCGCTACCACAGGGCCTTTATCCCCACCGCTGTCAGACTGTACAATAAGTCACTCGAAGTCACTAATGCACTATAGGACTGAAAACCTGCACTGCTATTTTTATCATGCATAATTATATCCTGCACAGACTATATTTCTAACATATCTGAGTGATAAAATGTGCTAAATGTGATATGCCAAATACAGATCCATCAGAGATAAATAAAGTTTATCTTATCTTAAATACTGTAAGTTAGTGAGGTATCCACTGCAGAACAAAGCATTATCATTTCCAGACTTGAGCCCAAAAGTCTGCAAACTTTCCCGAAGAGTGTAACCTAATTCCATCAGATTTTCTCTTTTTTCGGTGGCTATCCTCTTCCCCCGACGGACTCAAAGGTTTCTCGTCCAACCGTGGGATCCCAACAGGCCACATCCACACATTTTGTCTCTGCACAGACTAAATTAGGAGCCACACTTCCCCCTCGACATTTGGAAAGAGCACATCGTACAAATGCAGAGAGAGAAACAAAGAGAGGAGCCAGAAAAGCTAATGGCCCGCGGAGAAACAAAGCCATTCAGAATATGAAAACATGTGTCTGTCGTGTACAGTCTTTGAGGAGCTGTGTATTATCGCAGTAAAGCCCTTAATCACAGCAGCAGAGTCGGGGATTGGTCCACAATAGATCAGAGAATCGGTTACGTTGGTCCAAAGGGGAGCGGGACAGCCACGGTCCAGAAATGTTTATAAATGTCCAGTTAATCCTCGTCCTGAGACCCTCCTGCAAAGAACCACTCAGAAACCACAGGGGTTTGAATTAATGCATGTGCAGAAAATATGTTAAGAATGTGTTGTTGCAATGACTTTAAACTATAGACTGAAAATATTATTATTATCTCCGCTTTTCAAACTAATGTGGACCAAGAACCACTTTTGGACCAAGGACCACTTTTAGACCAAGGACCACTTTTGGACCAAGGACCACTTTTAGACCAAGAACCACTTTTGGACCAAGAACCACTTTTGGACCAAGGACCACTTTTGGACCAAGAGCCACTTTTGGACCAAGGACCACTTTTGGACCAAGAGCCACTTTTGGACCAAGAGCCACTTTTGGACCAAGAGTCACTTTTGGACCAAGAGCCACTTTTGGACCAAGAGTCACTTTTGGACCAAGAGCCACTTTTGGACCGAGGACCACTTTTGGACCAAGAGCCACTTTTGGACCAAGAACCACTTTTGGACCAAGGACAACTTTTGGACCAAGAACCACTTTTAGACCAAGAACCACTTTTAGA